CTCCAGACAAACACTAGTACTTAGTAGCTTGCGCTTGCTGAGTTCGCCTATCCGGTACAAGCCGCGCTGTACCAGTAGGGGATGCACGGTTGTGTAGGGTGGGTGGCCGTCGATAACTCGGATAGCCCTGTTCTGTAGAAGACCCAGGCGATCAAGCTGACGACCAAGGAGCGCGGGGAAGAAGGCATAGAGCTCTCCTTCTCACCACCACCATCAGTTCGCGCCTGGTGCCTAGTCGATGCATAGTTGGCGGTATCCGACATAGCAGGCTGGTACCTCATACAACAATGCCAATGGGTTACGGGATAACTGTTTCCCCTGCCCCCCCCCCCCCCCTCTATTATTTTTACCTGGCTAGAACTGCCTCCTCTCCCCTGATTCACTTGTGAGGTCTGCATTCGCCACTAAGGTGTAAAGGCATAGTGGTGGCTTGCGGAAGCGAAGGCTATAGCTTGTGTGTTTCTGAACATTCAAGTGATGCTAACGCGGATCCCGCGAATATTATTAGAACCCTGGTGTAAATCTTCTTCTTTTTTGGTTCTGGCTCAAGCCTTTTGTACGGGAAAAATACCATCATGATCAATAACAGAAATGCAACTAAAACCCAAAACAATTTTAAAATGAAAAGAACTCAAAGGAAATGAAAAGAACCCAAAGAGAAATAAAAAGAACCCAACCAGCACTGGTGTTAATCTACAACATGCGTGGCACTACAGATCCTCGCATGTACATGTAACTTGTTGCACAGACATGTTTCATGCATGCCTTTGTTCGGTAAAGTCGTTATACGCGACGAATTTTCAGGTCTTCAGGCACCAAAAGGTGTCCCTTAATTAATTCTTTAATCCGATCTGTCGTTACTTTCAAGTAAAGGTCGTTATACCCGATCTAAAAATATACGCAAAGGACATGCGACTTGGGCAACAGTGCCGCTAAACTCAATCTGTCGTTCTACATACTAATACTGACTGTCATGTAACGACTTACGTTACATGTACATTTACATGACGTGATTGTACAATCATGTACATGTAAATGTACAGTCATGTTCTACATGTACATGTATGTCTAGAGGCAAAAACCATGTTTTGTTGAAAACACGTTGTTGGTTGACAGCATGTAACACGTCATTGTCATGGTGGTGACAGTGGCTAGTGACTGTTGACTAGTGTTGTCAGCTACATGTATTAAACGAGCTGAGAGAGAGACACCATGCCCATGGGCAGAAGTACATGTAACAGTTGGAAAAGTAAAATACTAGTATTAACTGACCAACGGCCACCTACCCTTCACTTTGTGTGTTGTCGCTATTGCTGTCTATGTCTCTGTGTGTGCGAGTTTATGTGGAGCGAGAATGACCAAGTCCAGAGTGGACGCCTGCATGGGCTCCGTCTTTTCTTTTCTCCTTCTTTTCAGAGTCCCCCTTCTCTTACTATGGTATCAGCGCACAGGCAAGGACAAACAAATGCCTTATCATAAAATTGGAGCATAGTGGTGGTTACAGGTTAGGAGGCCAGACATTAATTACTACATCAGTACATGTACATGTAGGAGTACTTCAGGTGAAGCGGTATCTGAAACAAGTCAATGGGTAACGTACAATGTACATGTAGCTAGGGTCCAGCGGATTCTGCCGGCAGAACAATTGGCAGAAGTCAGTACTTTTTCTGGTAAGTTTCATGCATGTTTGGTGTGTGGATAAAGAAATGGAGCAGAATTCGAGGAATTGCCCGCCATAAGGTTTGTATGGTTCTGCCAATTTTCCTGCTTTTCGAGCAGAATCTGCCACCTTTTCGAGCAGAATCCGCCGGTCCCTACTTTTAGCTGTGACGCTTTCGTTCAGAGATGGCCATGCACCCACCACAGCCGTTGGCCTTCAAATAGCAGTTGACTGAAATTCAAAACGTCTGGATATTTAGCAAGTTCTTGGTGTAGAATGGCGAGGAGAAGACTTCGGCGGGCAGCTGGTGCACGTGGGCATTACATGTAAATCGAAGTACTTCTCACCGGATCATCCCCCGATGTCACCGGTTTTCATGCTTCATGTCTTGGTAACCTCTTCGGCTTCCCTGGAGTCCTGGACTAACGTTGATTTTTAGACTGCCCAATGGGTTTCTATTCTCCACTGAGTTGTCCAGGATCTCACTGCCTTCCATTCTGTCTGGTAAATTCTCAAACAAGTTCTTTCGGTTCTTTCTGAGATCATTGGGTGTGCATCAAGTAACACGTTACTCTTTAGTTACGATACATGTACAATGTACAATGTACATGACATTGTACATGTACATGTACATGTATGTGCCCATTGGTCACCACTGTCATGTACGTATGTATTACTGCACAAGGACCAGTGCAATACCGGCCGATATCTGCACGAACGGCGAAGCCGTAAGTGCAGATATCGACGCCGGTATTGCACGCGTCCGAGTGCAGTAATACATTTATCGCACCCCTGCCACCACACAGTCTGTCACCACCCACTTGACACAGTCTGGTGCAACCCTAGGCTAGAATGCTGCATGCAACCCTGCTATCATTTCACAGTCATACATGATACAACACAGCACAACCAGGCCAGTCGCGTTCATTTTTAGAGGAACACTTCTTTCGAGCAGCTGCTGTATACACGGGAGATCCTGGAAGTAGCGGGACAGCTTGCTCATGTCGTCGTCGTTGATGGGGTGTTTGTGCTCCACCGCTTTGACTTCTCCCGCATTCTTTGGCTTCATGAGGAAAGCCTTCAATGCAATGTTTGCGTCCTTGAACGCTGGGTCACTGTGGACGTTCATGGGCAGCTTCAACTCGACTACCTTGCGATGTATTGCGGAACGGAAACCGAGCAAGCTTGATGCAGAGTAGAACTTCACTCCAGCTTTCTCCGGACGGAATTCGACGTATGCATGTCGCAGAATGTAAACTAGGTCGCTTGCCGTAACCGTACTCAGGTCACAGCGACGTCCTGTGTCTTTACAATACTCGTCGAATAAGCGGAGCCATTTGTCAGTTGCCTGCTCTGTGTTTTTGTTTTTCTGCTCAGAAACGAGGCTGTCGATGGCGGCGTCGGACAGTTTCTCAAATCGGCTGTCGACAGTCCTCTCCAATACTTGGGCGTCTGCTGTCTCGACTCTCACGGAGCTTGTGAAGTATTAGTTGACTTTGCGGACGCAAGCCGGGTCCACATTCGCTTCCGCGACAGCGTCCTCGACCATTTATTATTTGGTGTGCTGCAGCAAGTCAGCAGCGACTGCTTGGCGGAGCGACTTGCAATATTCCCCAGTACACCGCCAGCCAATGACCAGATGAGTATGTGGATGCACTGCAGTGCGATATTGCACCCGGCCGGCGAGTGAGCGTGCAAATAACCTATATCTGCACGCTCACTTCGAAGCGAGCGTGCAAATAACCTATATTTGCACGCTCGCTTCGAAGTGAGCGTGCAAATAACCTATATTTGCACGCTCACTTCGAAGTGAGCGTGCAAATATAGGTTATTTGCACGCTCACTCGCCAGGGTGCAATATCGCACTGCAGTGCATCCACATAAGTCATTGGCTGGCGGTGTACTGGGGAATATTGCACGCTCAGTAAGGCCGCTGATTGGCTCAAACCATGGAGACACTCACGTGGGGTGCGATAAATGTAGATACGCATGTCAGCCGCAGCCGCAGGTCATCCCATAGCCGAACTGGTACGATGGTACATGTACATGTACATGTATGTCGGTGCCAAATAGTGCGAGATACCCAAGTCTGAATAGCATGCTAAAGTAGTAATGGGACGGTTGGCGTACCGGGTAGGTCAAGAACCACATACGTGGAAGTGGGACGCCGCCACCCCATGGTCAGGTGTCAGATGCGGATCCTACACGCGCACGGTGGGGGAGACCGGAGGATACTAGTAGATCAAATCCACCAACCAGAGCGGCAGAGGCCAATGGCCGAAATCCCATTTGCCACATCCATGTTTTCCTCGTTCCAGGGCCAGGCCACGAGTTCCCTGTTCCGTGGGGTATGAACGGCCCTTACGTAGAACATGTATGATCAGATTCTGATGATGTATCATAAGCTGTTGACGGAGCTCCCTCGATTTAGCCTAGGCTAGGGCTAATATAAGGCCTGTCGAGAATCCATAGACACAAAATACAAATGCAGGCGCGGCGACGGCGACATATTCCAGCCTAGTAGTAGATCTACTACTACTAGTACTAGTAGTACTAGCGAAGCTGATACTAGTCTGTGCATGTTACGAAGGTCAGATGACCAAAAGTCAAAAGGCAAAATGTTATAAAACCGGTTCCGAGCTACCTCAACAGGGACAGGTACGACACTCCGGGCCTAGCGCCTTGGCTAAAAGGCTTAGCGGCGTTAGCGCGCGGTATCGGCACAATGACTTATGTGCATGTCATTTTAATACCATGTTTACAATGACCATGGATGACATTGTATGTAGTCTGTATGTGAGGGTCACACTGATTCAGTGATTGGCAACGCGAGAGATCGAGAGTGCTAGTGCTAGTGGAGATTTCAATGGGTTGATATGATCTACATCAATACAATCATGCACAATGAGCCACGTGACTTCGGAAGTCTTTGTAGCCTGGCTTAGTGTACGTGTAGGTACAGACATGTTACTGACAGTAATCATGGTCAGGAGCAGTCAGTACATGACACATACACTCTACAGAGTAGATCTGCAGTAGTACAGACTACAGTAGACTACTCAGTACTCATGCCATGGTACTACAGTACTGTCAGTAGCTTCGACATGTCGACAGGCCAGAACCATGAGAACTGGCAGCCCAGAACGGGCAGCGCAGAAGGACACGAACTGCAGTAGATCTACGGGACGGTCGATGTTCGGCATTGCTCGCGTTGTGAACACTAAACCTGTTCTAGAACCCTGGAAGCTAGCTATCCCGAATAGCTTCCACAGTACACTACACTCTACACTACAGCGGCAAGAGGAGAAAAGGACAATGATCATTGTGTGATCTGTCACTG